GACACCATTCCGCCTGGCCCTGCACCATACTTACAATTGCAGCTGTATGTGAGTACATTGTTGCAGCCACTGCAACAGTCATCTCTTTAAGGGGCTTCCTCTTTTTCACTAATCCTCTAAATTACCAAACATGTCAAGTCTCAGAAAATAAGGGCGCTGCCACCTCATGCTCCTTTTTTTTCTGTGATATAGGAGGGATCTGCTTATTAACCAACATGAAGTAAGAGATTAAGAGCTCTGAAGGAAGTGAAAATGTCTGAAATGTCAAAAAGTAAGAGTAAGTGAAGAGCAGAAAATAAGTCCTGGTAGTATAGTGGTTATAAATTGGACAGCTAACAACAAGGTCAACCGTTCAAACCACCAGCCAATTTCCCAAGAGAAAAACTAGGCTTTCTATTCCCTTAAAGAGTTACAATTGCAGAAACCCCCAAGGGGAGTTCTACACTGTTCTATAGGGTTGCTATGAGTCGGAATCAGCTTGCTGATTGAGTCATAGACCAGAAAAATGCTGTAGAGTATTGATTAATCAAGCCAGTTACTACTATGAGGTTATATTAATAAGTTTATATGGTATAGTAAATATTATAGAAACCATGCTTGTAATCACTACAGGAAATGAAAACACTTACCAAGATTTGATAACAAATTTAAATTTTTAGATCTGCTGAAGTAGAGGTAAAGAAAATATAATTATATTTATAGTTGATGTATATATCAAGTTATTTATGTATATATGAGAACTAAAGAAAATATCATTCATAAAATCATTAAAATACAAGGATATATATCAAGATAAGTCATAGGATTCAAGGAGATATTTATAGATTCAGAAATCAGCAAAACTATAAAACTAAACGTACTGCTATTGATTTCATTCTAATTCATAGCCTATATGACTGAGTAGAGGTACTCTACGGGTTTCCAATTCTGTAATTATAAGAAAATAGGCTGGTTCATCATTCTCCAATAGAACAAATGGTAGATTCAAAATATTCAACTTTTAGTTAGCAGCCAAAGGCTTAAATCACTGTGCCACTAAGTCTCCTAGAAAAGCAATAAACCCTAAACCTACTGCCATCAAGTCAATTCTAATTCATAGGAAACCTATTTAGGGATTTCAAAATTGTAAATCTTTATGGGAGCACATAGCCTCACCTTTCTCCCACAGAGTGACTGAAGAGTTTGAATCACCAGCCTTGTAGTTAGTAGCTCAAGGCCTAACCCACAATAGTGAATTATAATCAATTAATATGGTCCTTCCAGTCATAATCCATTAAGTGATATAATTCTGGACTTCATACACTTGTGGCTGTAGTCCCATTTTAAAGGCATTATCTACTAAGGAACAGGAAAAGAATGAGACCAATGCCTGACCTTAATAGAGGGTGTGAATTGAGCCACACTCTTTTATTTAACCGTTATCTTCATAACTGTTACATGTAATGCATAGAAGGAATGATAAACTACAACTGAGAGGAGAAAAGCTGCTTCTGGCATGGTCTGGGGAAAAGAGTTGCTGATTAAGATCAGTAGGAGGCCAATGCCTACTGGAAACATCCTGCCAGAGATACAATACAGTAATGAAGAAGATATTATTATATTTGGGTATCATTAAAAATGTGAAGATTTATATATATATTAATTTGATTGCACTATTCATATCCAATGTAACTCCTATCAAAGGACTTTTCCCAGCATGGGTCAGATAAGGTGGAGGAAGATACGAATAGGATTCTCCTCTGAGTAATTCCAAGCAATGTCATCCTGTTGTGTATAAAATGGGCCCTCTAAGAGGTTAGGATAGGTGGGTGTCACAGTTGTATCCTTCCACATATTTATTCAAACTATATGTTAAGCAAATAATCAGAGAAACTGATTTATGTGAAAAAGAATGCAGCATCAGGATTGAAAGAAGTATGTATTAACAACCTGGATATGTGAATGACATACCTTGATTGCTCAAAGTGTGGAGGAATTGAGGCACTTGCTCAAACAAGATTAAACTCAATACAATGATCAATATCTTCATAATTGGACCAATAGGTAAACAATAAGTGGAGAAAAGTTGAAGTTCTCAAGGATCTCATCTTGCTTGGATCCACAGTCAATGCTTATGGAAGCAGCAGTCAGGAGAAAAGACACATTGCATTAGGCAATTCTGCTGCACAAGACCTCTTACAAGTACTGAAAAGCAGGGAGTTGTTTTGAGGACTAATGTGTGCCTGATCCAAAACATGATATTTTCCAGTGCTTCATATGCAAGGGAAAGATGAACACTATATGTCCAAGACCCAAGAAGAATTGATATGCTTCAATTATAGTTTTAGTAAAGAATACTGAAAGTGTCATGGACTGCTAAAAGGGCAGACAAATTTGTCTTGGAAGAAGTATAGCCAGGGTGCTTCTTAGAGGGAAGGATGGTGAGACTTCGTCCTACATGTTGTCAGGAGAGACCAGTCCCTGGAGAAGGACATCATGCTTGGTAAAGTAGAGGGGCAGAAAAAGAGAGAAAGACCCTAAACAACACTGATTGGCACAGTGGCTACAGTGAACTCACGCACTGAAATAACTGTGAGGATGGTGCAGGACCAGGCAGTATTTCATTCTGTTGTGCACAGGGCACCTATGGGCCTAAATTAACTCAATGGCATCTAACAACAAGAAACCGGGTGTGAGCTCATTACCAGTGAGTCGGGAATGTACCGCATTCTCTACACCCATCAGCTGGTTTACCCCTGCCTGATGTTTGTATATTGGTGTGGTAGTCACCTAATCTGGTGTCAATTTAAGGATTGAGAGTGTAGGGGTGGAGTCTAGGCTGTCAATCTGGAGATAGCCAATGAGATTTCTGTGTAGGCCTATGGCCTTCTGCGAATTCTAGGAAATCTGGTACTTCCTCCTTAAAGAGGGAAGACACCTCTCTCTCTCTGCTACTCCCTGGGAGACATTGCAGAAGACAAGCCACACGGACGCAACCAACCTCAGAAGACGGAGAAGCCACAGAGAGACCCCTGCCAGCACTGAGATGCTTACAATGCCACTGGACCCAAAGACTTTCTACCCACTGGCTTGTGTTCGTCCTGCATTTGACTTCATTGCATGTGTTTCGTGAGTCTGAAGAGGACTTTATAGATTGGTATCAGACATATGGGCTAATATCAGAATTATGGCCTTGGACTGCATCAAGACTGGGTTGGGATTTTTTCTCAATTTTCACTTACTCTTGTATATAAATATCTTTCTTATACACATATGTATTGTTTCTCTAGTCTACCCAGACTAACACACTTGGATTAAACAGCGCCACCACCACATGAGACATTTCCTTAAACTTCGTGAATTCCAGTGGGATGTTGCAGAAACGTGAGGGAATATACTCCTGGGAGTAGTTGGGGAGGGGGATGGAATTGGATAGTAGCATGTAAGACTTGGACATTTGGTACATCATCATCCTCAACTCCTTGGGATTAGTCTGGTATTAATTCTTCTAAAAAGGATTATTGCCACAGTAAGGTAACAACTGCAGCAGCGCTCAGAGGACTTTGGGCAGCGGTTCTCTAATTAGCTTCTCTTCCTTCAAAGAGAAGCATTTCTAGATAATTTTGCATTCCTCCATTCTTAATAAAGGCACTGCAGTGGGTCTGGAGCACAAGGATAAGGGAAAGTAAATATAGCATTTAACAAATTTTTCAGGAAACAGTTCTAAACTGTTAACATGTAGAGATGTTTTTAATTACATTATGATTAACATAATGTATTTATAAAAAGAGAATCATTACCGTAAAGTCCTAGAAAGTAATTCAACTATATGTATAATATTTAAAATGTTATGTTACTAAAAATTTACATTTATCACTATACCACAAAAGTCTATCTGTCAAATACCAATGATGCTTTCGTCCTTCACATTGTTTCCTTTTCTGTTACTCACTCGGACTTCTTCTCATAGGTCTTAGAAGATTCCTCAATCCTCCCTTCTAGTTCCAGAACAGCTTCCTCCTTGTTTAAAATCGTCTGCTGTGTTTGCATAAGCTCTTCTGCTAAAGTTTTCAACCTAAAATGCAAAGTTTTCTCATTATTAATCTACAAGTTAATTATGCTCACTTTGAGAAACAAATTTTTTTTTCATTCATCTAGGGTTACATTGTCCAAAACAAGAATACCAAATGTAACATCATTTAAATTAACTAAAAATTATTAAAAGGGAAAATTCCTTTCCTTGATTACTTTAATCATATATGAAATGTTAAGCAGACATAGACAACTAGTGCCTCCTCATTGGATGGCTCAGAAGAAAGAACACTTCAATAACTGCAGCAAATACTCATGGGCAGTGCTAATCTAGAGAGTCTTGTTTCATCAATAGGATAGAGAGAAATCAAAGCAGAGAGTAGGAGAAAATAAAGCAAATAAGATAACTAAATGGCCCATCATGTCCCAGGTGGAAGAATATATGGTGAAATATCCATTTCTTGTTTTCAGACAGACGTTTTCATAATCTAACTTGAATACATTTTATCTCTGAGACCTTGAGCAAACTACTACTTAGTAAGTCTTAGGTAAATGGTAACAATATTATTTGTGTATGCTATCTCACTTAATCCTTACAGTGATATAGTTATTCTAAATTATCTAGAAAATGAAATAATTATCCTTATCTTACAGAAATTTTAGCTCAGTTGTTTGACAATATAAGTATAAGGTAAGTTATTTTTATTTTAATGCATTCTAATAATGCCATAGGGCATTTTCCATATAGATTTTAAATGATCAAATGTATAAAATTAATATTCACTGTCAAGCAAGAATTAATTTTTGGTAGCATAAAAAGTATTTTCCCCTTAGAAATATTTCTACCACAACTATACATGCAGTAGAGTAAGACAGGAAACTCAAGTACAAAAGAGAATATTAAAGAAGTCTATAAAAATTTTAATTCCCTTAAAGTTAAAAAGATCATAAATGAAATAAATAAAAGACAAGCTATGAAGAAATAGGTGTAGATCCTTTCCATTAAAAAAAAACTGAGGAAAAAAGGCAATACAAAATGAAAATACACACACACAAAAAGTTCAAATGATAAGTACATGAAAGCATATACAATCTGACACAAAATTAAATGCCTACAGTTCTTACATTATATTTATTTTAACTAAAATTAACATCTTAGACATTATTGTAGCATTCTCAATATTATAAAAAAAGAATGATTCATATACTACTTTGACAAATTGACACAAAATTCTACAAAAAGAAAGTGATTCATATACTCTGACAAATATGACACACTTAGAATTCTCTCTAATTTTTAAGTTAAAATATTATTTTACCATCTAAAAACCTCATCAAAATACTTGCACAGGGTGTACAAAATCTATCCACACAAAGATATTTATTGCAATACTGTCTAAAAAGGAATAAAGAAATGTCAATCCATTTATGATTTAAGTTAGCACACAGCCACTAAAAAAGAGTTCAATATAGACATTTAAAGTTCCTCAAAACATTTAAAGTTCCTCTAAATTAAAAGGCGAAATACAGAAGAATATATAGTACAGCTCCATTTATATAAAATACTTAATTGTATGAGGAGCTCCAAAAAGTTTGTGGAAAATGACTGAAAGAGAATAAAAATTTTTCACAAATTTTTGAAGCCCTGTCCTACAATATATACTTGTATATGTTTGTGTGTGTGAGCATATAGGAGAAGAACCAGAGGACGACAAACCAAATTTTCATCAATGTTTTTAACATTCTGAGACAAGTCGAATTGGGGAAGAGAATAATTTAAGGTAAGAAAGAAACTTTCATATTTTACATTATAGATGTTTATATTGTTTAACGTTCTTATAGCATGAATAAGTATATTTTTCTTAAGTTACTAAATAATAGAGATCGAAGGTTAGAAAAAGCAAACTATGTGACATAGTCAAGATGATCTCAGAATAGAGCAATACTATTTATTATCTTTTGCTTAGAAATAATAAATCCACAGCACAATAAATCTCAAAGGGTTTCTAAGGGTTTTACTACACTCTAACAAAACATATTCAGGGATACTTCTTATACTATGACCTAGAATCATCAGGGAGAGGTTAAATTAAGATGAGAATTTTTATTTAAGAAAATGCATACAGTCATAAAAGATTTGCATCAAACATACTAAAGTGATGTTTTGATTACTTTTATAGATGCTTTTATAGATAGATAGGTAGATACTTTCATAGATGCTTCAGTTATCTGGAGAACTCAGGCAAAATCATTCATTTCTGACAGTCATATAAAGAAGGTATTACTGTATTAAAATTAGAGAACATTCTCAAGGAGGTTATATTTCAAGCACCGGCCTCATTACTTATTAATCATAAATAAGTAAATAAAATTCACACAATGCTTTGTCATTTATAAAACTCGCCTTCTATATAATACCATTTAACACTCAGGAAAGTCTCCAAAAAGAACCCTGCCTCATAACTTGTCCCCACCACCCTGTCACCTCCTTGCTTCCTCCTATCCAGTGTGGAGGCAAGAACATTTGTCACCCCTGCCACGTTAAACTCAAAGCTAAATGTAATAGAACGTTCTTTTCATGTTAACATCACTTCCCTTTCCTGGGTGGAAGTTCTCTGTCATTTGTCTCTTCTACACCTTTCCCTTATTCTCTTCCTTCATAATTGCCCATTCGCCTCCCTTCTCAGCCCTTCATTCATTCACTTTATCACTTTCAACGGTGCTTACTAATCATACTGAGACCCTCTACTCCCTGAATGAGTTAGTCTCAGGAACCCAGAGGTACCCATTGTTCTCTGTCCTTAAGGTCTCTATGTGTTGGAATCGACTGGATCGCAGTGAATTTGGTGTTGGGAAGGATATTACTTGTGTCAGGCACTAAGCTAGACACGAGTGATACAATAATAAATAAGTTTGGTCAAGAAACTTACATTCTAGGAGATGGAACATCGACATTTTATCCTCCAACCCTTTCTTTTCTTCTTCTTCTTTACTCTCTTTGACTATTACTGTTTCCTTTCCCTAGTTTCTTCTCAATGCTTGTCTCTGTACCATATCCTCCGCTCCATCCTGGAATACACATTCCCACCAAACTGTAAGATGCAGGCACATAGTAGGTGCACATAGTAGGTGCTCAACTTAGTTCCCTATGTCCTGTTTTACTCACTGGAAACCCACCCGTTACACTTTGGCTGCAATTTCCTAATCACTTCAAGGGTCTCCTAATTTCTGACATGCTGAATTATCTAAAAAGTGAAACTATATAGAACCACCAAATGTAAGAACATGATGTAAGACGTCGACCCATCAGCTGATTTTGGAGGTAAACTAAGCACTCCTGTAGTGGTGGGGAAAAGGAAGTCATCGTTCCCTAACATGAACAATGGTCATGCATAGGGCAGATTCTTTTCACGTTAAAAAAATGATCAAGACAATCACTTGCTTTCAGAATAAGTTATGAGAAATATTTACTAAATTTTATTTTAAAAGCAATACCCTCAGGTGAATATTTAGTTTTCCTAAACTAATATTTCCTTTAATAAAATTGAGAAATTCAATATAACTTAACTTTAAGACTATATCACTTATTGTTAAACTTTCTAGCACAGAAGTTGAATTATAGCATATTCCCTATTAACTGTTGGTATTATTAACCATTTTTATTAGCACTAGGTAAAATAAGCATATTTCTGGAATATAAGCTCAGGATGTTATGTTTTACTTAAAAAAAAATTATCTGACCCTTGGGTACAAAAACTCATGTTACTCCCAAGGTAGGATGTTTATGTAAAAATCCCGAGCCAGTTATATTTGTATTATTTGCACATTATTACCAATTACCAAGAATAAGTAAAATCAAGTAATATTGTAAGCATCCTATATTCATATATTCAAGCTATTCATAATCAAAATAGTTTATCTCTTTCCAGCAATGTTATTTCCAAGGTCATTAACTGTTTGGAGAAATGAAGAATTTCAATTGCATGAGAAAGGAATCTTCACTTGTATTTTTTTGTTACTCTTGATGTAAACAATAGAGAGAAAAAGTATATATACACACAGACATGCACATGTGTATTGATATGATGTTACAAAACAGATAGTCCCATTATCACAAATTTAAAAGAAATCTATTAGAAATTTTATTTTTAATTTTACATTACTCTCATTTCTTCATATAAAACCTTTAGAAAAATTCAAGAAGCAATATCTTATTGTGGTAGACAACATGGTTCCATGATTAACTGTTTTGATGCCTTCTTTTTACTTGGTATATTTACCTTTAAGCAGAATAGAGAAAGAGGAAAGCAGTGTCTCATTCCTGAGACACTGCTGCCATGATTAAGCTTCAAGCACATTATACTTAATCCCATTACTCACACATCACTGGTACAAGGCAATTCTAACACAGAATATCAAAATCTAAATCTGTAATCTCTTTCACTTCCTTTAGTAATTCTCTTGAAAAGCATCACTTAAGACAATCAATGAGGGATTAACTATGAGGTCATGTTTATTTATTATGGGTTTTGGCTATACTATACATCAGCTTACTTGAGAGAAGAATGAAGTAGTATGACTTATTTTCTTTCAAATTCTAGTTTGGGCAAAATGACTTTCACCTAGAAAGAAAAAAAGCCTATCACCAGTTTACTACTTTAGAATCCCTAAAGAGCCAGAAAGAAATTTGAAGTTCAAACAAAGGCCTAGAAAAGCTAACAATATTTCTGTCCCCTGGCAGGGATGTTATTGCCGATGTGCTAGAATTTACTACATGTAAAATTTAATATTGAAAGGCTAAAGAAAAAAAGGGGGGTGTATAAAATAAAAAAGAAAAGAGATCAGAAAAAATTGAACAATATTTTTTCCTCTAATTTTCTAGTCTCTGATCATGTCAAGAATGTAGTATCTTTTTTTTTTTTTGAGGCTTTACTCTTTTGGCAGTCTCAGTGCAGACAAGGCATTAACTAAGCTCTATACAAAAACCCCTCAAATAAAAAAATTAAATAAAAGTAAGACTTTGAAGTGAAAACTGCTTAATAT